AGACCTTTCACTCTCAAATAGATAAACCCAAATGACCAAAATACCCCTGATTTGTGTATTCTAACACATATCATGCATTATCATCTGTAAATTTAGCATTTGGGGAAAATTGCAGAATATGCAGTTCAGTGTCCTTTCCTGATGCATGAGGTAGGTAGTTTGTGAAAGAGATGATATAGAGAAATAGCAAAAGAATAATTATGAATTAAGTACCATCTGTGAAGGGACAATCAGGAAAAAATTGCATGGCATATAGTTTAGATTTTGCTACTTATGGTACCCCTCTAGGAGATCTTTGGAGAATCAGTGTACCTTCTGTATTTTTCAATTTTTTTTTTCCAGATAGTTGGTGGCTGTTCAGAGCATGAGATGAGTGCTGATGGTTGTCAAATCTCGTTTTTAGATGTCTTATTATTAAATGGTCTTTATATTTTTCTGCAATAATTGTTTCTGATTGATGGTTGTAATGTGTCCAGTCGTGGTGATACACAAGAGTTCTCAGACCTGAATAAGCTTGCAAAACGTTTTCTTAAAGGTGATAAGCATGCCACAGAAGGGGAATCCAATGATGTACCTTCTAGGGCCTATATTCAGGAGGTTGTGGAAGAACTACGTAGAGGAGAAAAGGGAGAGTGCCCAATTTGTCTTGAATCTTTTGAGGATGCAGTATTGACTCCTTGTGCTCACCGCCTATGCCGAGAATGTCTCTTGGCCAGTTGGCGGAACCATGCTTCTGGTCTTTGTCCTGTTTGTAGGTATCTTCAAGACCCTTTATTTGGCTTGTGGCAGTATTTTTACATCTAAATATAGATTGAAAAGTTTTTAATCTTTGGTTCCTTATACAGTATGGGCTGACTTGTTTGTATGCCCTCAATTATTATGTTTTGAATTCTTTTTACAGGAAAACTATCAATAGGCAAGATCTTATTACTGCCCCAACTGATAATCGATTTCAGATTGATATTGAAAAGAACTGGGTGGAATCATCCAAAGTTGCAGTTCTTTTGCAGGAATTAGAACATCTTCGCTCTTCTGGCTCCAAAAGCATTGTTTTTAGTCAGTGGACTGCCTTTCTGGATCTTCTCCAGATTCCTCTTTCTAGGTAATGTTTCTTTTGCTGCATAAGGATTACTAGAGGGACTTTTGATGGTTTTGTTGCTTCATTCTATTCCTTTACTTTACATTTATTTTGAAGGGAATCCAAGGTTGGATTGACCATAATGTTCTGCCAAAACCGCTGCTTGGAATGTGGCATTCATGCAGGGCTGGATCCAATATTTGATAAGGTCCCCATCTAGGACTTCTATACTAGACTTTAACTGAATCTCTTGATCCTGGAAACTCTGTAACTACCCTATCTATTTCTAACTATTTCATATATAAAAAAAATACCTGGATGCCTTGTCTCATTTTTGAACCATCCAAGTGAATGCATTAGAATGGCTGGTTAGGATTGTCAAACAGGAAAATTTTTGGCTAGATCTCCTATCCTTTCAGGATGTTTAAAGTGTAGGTCCTCATGTGTGGCTCACCCCCATTATCTATGCCATGCCATGATTTGAATATTAACTTGGTTATATGCTAAAAGTTGACTGTCAAGCAAAGGCTCTACCATTTTAGACTAACCTTGAAATCTCTAAAAAAATCTGTCTTACCTTCTTGTTAAACCTCAAACTGTGAAATGGTTTGGGGGACCTGGTTTCCCTAAATGAACCTTTTGTCCTGGTGTTTCTCTTTTTTGTCATCAGACTATTCGATCTGACTGTCAGACTATTGCGCTGTGACTGTTTATTTGCTCCTTGTACTTGTTGCTTCAGTTAACATTGGTTCCATGTTTGTCACCTTCCTTTTAGTCCAAGGTTTCCTGCTTGAATTTCTGAGCATCCCTAAGTAATGCTTTAATTGGTTCACACATCATACCTTTTGCTTCCAAACATGGGCTAGTTTTATGGAATTCTGTCTTGACAATCTCATATTTTATGGGCCTTAGTATTTTCATTTCTAATTTTTGTCCAGGTGTAACTTTCCATTTGCTCGTCTGGATGGAACTCTAAATCAGCAGCAGAGAGAGAAAGTAATAAAGCAGTTTTCAGAGGAAAGTGATATCTTGGTTTGTCCTAGAAACTCTTCATTTATTCTCTTTTTTCCATTATGTAATATATTCTTAATGAGATTTGTTCAACCTTTGGTCCTGGTTGTTGTTATGACAGGTGTTGTTAATGTCATTGAAGGCTGGTGGAGTTGGAATAAACTTAACAGCAGCAAGCAATGCCTTTGTTTTGGTATGTGCAGAAGCTTTCGAGCTTCTTACTTTCAATGTTTTATGTTGTTTGAATTTCTTGATTGCATGGAAATTTCAAGACATGCATTTAAGTTCTTTGTTAACATGGAACATGGAACCTGTGTCTATTTTCCTATATTATTGGATTGTAAAAATAGTGACGACAATGAATATTAATGGAACAACCACCAGAGATGTAGCATATTGGATGAAGATAAGGCGGTAAAGGCCTTTTTCTCTGGACAGATTGGGTGATTGTTGCTTCTCATTCTTGTCTTCCTCAAGCCCTAATCTCCTAAGTTCAAGTTAAAGAGTTGGATTATGTATGCCCTTAGTTTGCAATATAAGACGACTTAGGCATGACCTGACTAAATGTATCAAGGTTGGTGTCAATAGATCAGCTTAAGTAGATTTTTTTTTTTTTGATGAATAAGCTTACATAGATGATTGCCTTTATAACTATGCTACTTGGTACAAATTGGCTGGTTTGACTGCAGCTTACCTGATATAGAACAAAAAATAAGAAAAGTCCTACAAGGGTATGTATGATGGATAAAGAGAGAATTCGGATATAATATATGGGAAAGAAGGGCAGAAGTTTTATGGGTGGTTTGGGAAGACAGAATGTTAGGTTCTTTAATAATAAGACATGATCAAAGGATGACATTATGGAAAGGTTGCAAAGGCAGCCATGGTTTGGGTTGTCTGGGAAGAACAAAGTGGAAGAATTTTGAGTGGGAAGAGTGGATCATTGGACAGCATAAAGAAAAAGTTTGAACATTGGGTAAAAACCTTGGAAAGATTTCGGAATTTCTCTATAAATGAGATAATAAGAACCTGGATTGAGGTGGCACAATCTTCTAGAGTAAAAGACAGGATAAAGATGGATTGGAAACCTCCAGAAGGCAACAGAGTAAAACTGAACTTTGATGGAAGCTCTTTTGGAAATCTGGGTATGGCAGGAATGGGAGGTGTATTCAGGGATCTGAAAGCAGGATATTAGCTTTGTATTCAGGACCTGTTGGAATGGGAAAAATTCTTTGAAAGCTGAAAAATTCTCAATTGTAATTTTACTTCGTTTTTTAAGGCAGCAACTCACGCCTTTTGGGAGAATTCTGTTTTGTATTCACTTGTCAGTTCACCTTTATTAATCTTAATAAAATACCTCATTATTCATAAAAAAAAGTGAAGGAGAGCAAATGGGATGGCTGATTCCCTTGCTAAGCATGGAGCTTCAAGGCAGCAACTGTTTTGGAATTCTATGTAATACTGTTCCAGCTCTTGGGTTGATAGTCTTGTTAATTGAATGTTTTAACTCCATTTTTCATCAATTTTAATAAAATAATTTTTCTGCTGATAAAAAAAAATCAGCTGAGTAGTAGATGTTGTTGGCATTTGCATTAGAACCACCGGGAATTTTCTTCTTTGTTTTATTTTTTCTTCAATCTCTATTTTGTCCTATGCACCGAAGACTTAAAGTGTTGGACGCTGTTCTATAAATTTGATCCTCCTGTCTATGGTTTGAATTCTCCATCTGGACTTCTATTTCCATTCCTTAATGGTTTCTGGTATTTGACCTTGATAGTGACTACTTAATCATGCTATTGTTGGTGTCTTTTTTAGGATCCATGGTGGAATCCGGCTGTTGAAGAACAAGCTGTCATGCGTATTCATCGAATTGGTCAAACCAAAAAAGTTACAATCAAGCGTTTTATCATGAAGGTACACTTTCTTTCTCAAGATTTACTGACAAGTACTGTAATTAGAAGTTTGGGTAGTGGTGTCTTAGGCTTTAGGAAATGAAGTTAGGACAAACTCGGCTTAACAGAAAGCACTCGATTCTTACACAAAAGAATCAACTGGCCATCCATTTAATTTGCTCCGGTTTGGGATTTTGTAAAATTCTATTCCTCATAACCTAAAAATTATTACAGACATGCACCTCCCTTGTGCACAATAAATGATAAATATTTGGAGAATCTTGAAGACTTGAACTAAGAAAATGATCAGTGCGAGTAAAATTCTTAAAATGTAGTTCTCTCCTCACTTTATATAACTAATGCCTTCAAATAATCAAAAGCCACGTCAACCACCTCAAGAACTCCTTCATTTGTTTATCACTTGATTGAATTGGTAGATCAGTCATTGCTTGAGCACTCATATTTGTGATGGTTACTTGCTATATTAGTCGTTGGTTTCCTGACCAGGCCACCCTAACCATTTATCTAACATTTTTTCTCTCAATGTGCTTTAGTGCAAGTCTCCATTAGACATCTCCTCAGAAACAAGCACCTTTTGGTCCACAAAATTATATATTTTGGCATCACCAATTCCATTCATTTGGAGCATATTGCCATCTTCACCACTGTGACAGGAATGGGGAATAACACAATGATAATAGGAAGGCTTGTTGCTATATTCTCACAAAGTTTATTTTCTTTCCTTTTGAAAGGCAGATCTTTTTGAGCAGCGAGTCTACTTCCAAGATACTCCACCACAAGGTCCCAACTTCCAAATGACTTTGGTTCACTAGTGCCTTGTGGAAGGTCTGTTGTGACAAGGGAAGTTGCTCAAATTTATGTGAAGCCATTGGAAGTCAATGGGAAGTGTGCAACACAAAATATTAGCCGGCCCAGACATTTGAAAATTGAATGTTCATTTCAAAAGTATGACCTGCTAATTATTAGATTAGGGAATACCATGTAGTGAAGAGAGTCTTTGAAAGTGTAAACTACAAATAAAAGATGGCTAATCCAGTGAATCCTACTTCATCTTCCATGGTGGCTCCTGAAGAGATCAGCTGGGTACCCACTAACACACCTCAAAATTTTCCGTCATCTTGACTAGGACTTTAGCTTGCCAAGCTTGTATTTCAAAAAGTACTGATTTACATGAGGGGCCATTGCTTGGTACAATGTTAAAACCTTGGGCTGACAAGGGTGAGAACACTGGTTTGAGTCTGATAGTGGCCACTTTGCAGAAAAAGGCAGAGCTTAGATCTGTATCTAGTCTACCCCTCCCAACATGCAGGATAGCTGGGATCAGCTTTGAGTATGGTCTCGTACCCAATTTACATGTGTGATCATCTCGCCAAATAAATGCATTTGTTAGCAACCAAGAATTTGTTCAAAATTGGAAATCCAACTACAAAGTGACTCGTTTTTTGATCGGTTAGATATACTTTACCTTGACATGTCATGATTAATCAAACCCAAAGTCCAAACATCACACAACTATAGCAAAATTGAAAACATCACACTTCAGTTATTGTTGATAACACACTTATGAGTACATTATCTGTCTTTGGAGCTTCTTCCGATCAGGCTGGTAGAGCCAAATTTGTACAATTTCGTACAACTCACTATGGCAAAGTCATTTGTGGTATAGTCCTCAGAGGCTCATAAAGGGTATGTACCATTACCTGGAATGTGAAAAGAAAAAATCTTGCGAGAAAATCATGGCACTTGATTGGACTGCATAAGGTGTTTTAGAATTCTTCAGCTCCTTTTAGTAGCAGAGGTGAGGTCACTGTACTTTTGGCAGTTGTGGAAGTGTCATATATGCCTATTCTTACAAATTAGATGCTTAAAGATGGTAGTGGTCTTGTGTCATCCCTCCCACTTTAAAGCCTGTACTGTTTATCTTTTTGACAATTGGAACATGCCCATAATTTTAAACTTGATGCCTTCAAGGTTTAGAATGGAGGCAGTGCTGGGGTAGTTAATTGATTTACTTAAAGCTAATTTGTTTTCTAATTGTAGGGAACAGTAGAGGAAAGAATGGAGGCAGTGCAGGCACGAAAGCAACGGATGATCGCTGGGGCCTTAACCGATCAAGAAGTTCGTACTGCAAGGATAGAGGAACTGAAGATGCTCTTTACATAGACTAGCTGAGACAGTTGTTTGCTGGGTATGACTTGAAATGGGAGGCAAATAACAAGAAATCACTTACTTGTAAGCAAACTGATGGAAAGCCAATTCTGAAGTAGAAAACCATCTCTTGGGTCCAAGTGTCCAACAAACTCAAGATGCAAGGCAGAAAGACACCACATGACACTGTGACAGGAAGTTGAATTGAGTGGCATGAGGTCTTCTTTCTAAGCCAACAAAGTATTCAGTACTATATATCGTTCAAGGAGGATAGAGAATGTATATTGTTCTTCACATTTACCTAGTAGACTGGCATTAGTTTTGTGGCTTTTGCCTGCATCATTGTATGCTTGCTTCCCGTAACCAGGGAATGTTCAATGCCGAGTGTAACTCAGAGTAAATTATGTACATTTATTTTCCCCAAAAAGAGGGCTATTTCCAAACCCTGTAGCCAAATGATAAGAGTATGTGCTAAAGCATTTTTTATGTATAGATGATTTCTTTTGATGACCAAAAAAAGTTTATTTCTTTTTAGAGTCCTTGCTAAGCAGTGTTGCAAACTATTGGGAAATATTAAAGACAATAATTTACTAGTTTATTATTAAATGTTAAGACCCTTATGTTCGTGTTTTTCATTTTAATTGTAATCAAGAGTAAAGAAGCAGCAGGATTCACCATGGCAGCTAATAATTGAAGGCACAATCACAAATTGAATGACCTCTATTGTACTGTCTCACGAGTCTTGAGATAAACCTTCAATTTGACATGAGCAATAAATGCTCCCTTTACCCTTCGAATTCAAATTAATAGATGTAGGTCAATGGTTAGACGTTTCTTAGTAATTTAGGGTTGCTTTTTAATGTTCATGGCTCAATTCCTACTTTCCTAGTATTCATCTTAGCTTAATTTATACCATGAATCGCTTCTTGTCAAGGGGTGATTTTTGGAACCTATAAGCTTTTTTTGGGTTTGAGAACCCATAAACATTTTTTTTTTTGGTAATCAAGAAAACATAAACATTTTATGTTTTTTTGCAGCAAAAAAAAAGGAAAACATTTTATCTTTTTTCTTTTGACCAAGAACAAGGCTTAGAGTCCAAAAGTCAGACGATTATATTTCAACCTCCTAACTCCTAAGGTCCAATGCTAGGGGGAAAAGATTTATGTTCAGTTTACGTTCATTAATCAGATATGGTACTTTACCACAATTTTAGGATCAATTATTTTGCTTGATTGGCTTTAATATGTTTGACTCCTGAGGTGCCATCTTTTCTTTCTATTATGAACCATTTTGGTTTGAGATGATCTATTCTTTGAGACACGCAAATGATCTTCTTTTAACTTTAACTGCTTGGATCTTAGGATACCTTGAAGTTTGGACATCGCTTGATTCTTTCTTTGGTTGCCAACTTTGAATTGAAGAAATGATGGAAGCTCGGAGCTGTATAACTTTTTTAACTTCTTTCGCCTGCAACCTCTTTGACTCATAGCACTTGTATGTTGAACAGAATTTGTAATATACATAATTACTAACATAGTTAAGCACATCTAAAACACATAAGGTTCAAAGTATCGTTACATATCGGTCAAATACGTATCGTTCCGGAACCCTTTCGATACACTCCTACAGTGGGTGTATCGGGGGTCTGACCAGTTCAAGGGATGAATGGGTCCTAGACCGGTTCCTCTGAACCAGTTTTGAAAAAAAAAGTAAAAAAATAAGTATTGAAATGCCCGATACACCCCTACCGGCATATCAGACATCGATATTTTGAACCTTAAAACACATTTGGCTTTCAGTCAACATGGACTACTGAAAAATTGTTTCGACAATTATGTTTGGACAACCCTGTTTTAAGTATATAAAATAGCTGTAGCCTATTGAAAAAGTAAATATTAAATTTTTTGCATACTAATTTATAGATAGAAGGCAAAAAGTAGATTTAATTTCGTTCCTCTTATAACTTTCAAAAAATTTCTTAGCTCAGACTAACCATATAAATTTCAAAATTTCAAAATTCATATAGTTTTGAGGTACCTGCCGAGGTTTGGATCAGATGGTCTTAAATTTATAGACCCAAATTAGCCTCAACTGTTGCTCAAAATTTTATTGGTCAAGGGCCTGCGAGCTTGGGGTGATCATTTTTAGCCTAATCCGGGCTTGGGCTCGGCTCGTGCATATCTATCTATATGTTATTTATACATGTTTTATACATATGTATACATATAATTTTGTTATATCTTATATTATATATAAATATTATTATATAATATTATAATAAAATAAATTTTATTTATCGAAAAATCTATAATACCAGAAAGACGTGATATCGGAAGAGTTTTGATAAATCGAAATCCATCCATGAATTTTAATAAATTCTATCTGATTGATTAACACATTTATTATATAAATAGCGGTTGGTTACAATTTTTTTTTGGATATAGTCCAACTCTTTATACACATAGAAAAACCAATGGTACCTGTTCGGTTAATCGAATTATGGGCAGTTTTTGCAAACTGAACAGGTACCATTGGTTTTTCCATTTCCCTAAACCGAAACCAAACCGGTACTATTGGTTAACCAGTCTGTCAGTTTCGATTTTTGATCGGTTCAGTTTTTCGATTTTTTATATTTATAATATATTATATAAATATATATATATATATAATATGATATTATAAATAATAAATGATATATAATATATTATAAATAATAAATGATATATAATATATTATAAAATTATATAATATATAATATATTTATAAATAATATATATATATATATATAACATATAAAAAATATATGACATATATTAAAAATATATATAAAATATACATATAAATATATATACTGGTCGGTTCAGTTAACCCTTAATTTTTTTATCGATTTACCGAAAACCGAATCGATTTTTTCAAAATTTCAAAAATATCAAATCGAAACCGAATCGATCGATTCGGTTAACCGCATTTTCCGGTTCGCTTTTCTCGATTCGATTCGATTTTTCGGTTTTTCATAGACACCCTAGCGATTCTTCAGCTGCTCAAGCTGGAGTCATTTGGGAGCTGTATCCGTAATCCGCCCGTCTGTCTCTCGGTCGGCATCCTAGATAGATAGAACAAAAGGTTGCGAAGGAGTCGTCGCGCGTCCGTTCTACTCCCATCACGCCCCAATGTCAGCCGGATCCGATCAAAAACTTGCGACAGATACACCCATCACAACTGAGCGATCTCTGACTTCCATCCAGGGAAAAGATGCAATGAATCCAAAGGTGGAGACCTCCACTTCTGGTTCTGGGGCGCGCTTATCCTGCACCACATGCTTCGACTCTCTTTGGTTTTGCTACTGTACGCATCAATGTTTTCATCCTTCATTTAGACTCACTCTTGATTCAGTCCGATTACTTTAGTTCATCGTTGCAGCAAGTCAGCATGGTGGTTTCTGTTGATTGGTTTCATGTTTTGTTTGTCACTGCTGTGTGGTACTTATGTTATTCTGGTTGTGACATCTGAGTTTCTGTTCAATTCCTTGTGCCTTTTTTTTTTGATATCTGGGGATGTTGTTATTTTGGTTTAATCTTCCCAATTGATATATTTTAGTTGTTGGTGTCAAGGGTATGATTCTTGGGTAGATTTTTAATGGGGTGATGATTCATAAACATTTCTATATGTCCTGAAAAAATCGAAGACCTTGGTTCTAAGGAATGGATACGGAATATGGCATATTTTGGGTACGGTGTGTTTGAAGGTGTGGTTGAGCTGAAGTTAATTCGTTTCTTTTGCAAGATGTATAAGTTCATAAATTAGGTCTTTGGATTGGATCCAATGAATGAATCTGTAACTATTGAACATTATGGTTGTCTGGAGTACTAGAATTGCTGGTTGGGTGTTTCCCCTTGCCTTTTGTTGGTTTGTGGGGGGGAGTAGATTGTTTGAGAAGGTAACAATACGAGGAGTAAAACCCACTCCTTTATATGGCCCCTTACAATGCTTGTGTTGAACTTTTGATTGGATGTCAGCATTCCAAAGTTCTGATTTTTTGGAGTTCTTGAAAACTTGCTTTTAGTCATCGAAGGTGCCATTCTTAAGGTCTAATGTACCTCAAACAAACCATTTCCCCCCTCCTTTTTCTGTCTTTTTTTGGCATGTTTTTTTGGTGCCTTGCCACTCCAATTCTTTGCTTATGACCAAGGTATGCAACTTGCACATTTATTATTTTTCTTATTGTTAACACGCTTATACACTGGTTGAGTTGCATTCATTATTTCTCTTCACAAAATGATTAATATGAAGTGAATCAATACTTCATTATACAAATTTACAATGGATGAGAAAATTTGAGGGGGGGGTGAATTTGAATCAGGGATGTCCGAGTCTGCTTGTGACCAGTTCATACATTTAAGTTAGTACATACTTTTTTGTTGTTGATAAAAAGAAGAAAAAAAATCTAACAGTTATCACTATAAGAATTGACATCATCTATCTTGAGAGAGTGTTAAAAAATGCATCAGACCAAATAAACAAAGTATATGGGGCTAAAAGATAGTAAGATACTTCTTTGTTCATCAAAATAGCTTGTGTCTCATTACAATATTGGTCCATTATTTTTAAGTTGATACTGCTGGATGATCAGGCCATTTTTGGTTGACCTTTTGATGGCTAGAATGGTTTAATTGGAGGTTTGGATTTGAAATAGAGTAATCTGTATGATCTGAACCTATTCTAGCATTTGTTTCAATTATGATTAAAAAATGAATATCCGACTAAGATAGCCTTGGGGGAGCTGAAACAGATGGTGGATATACTTGCAAAATTGAGGATTGGGAGTTTTTAATTTTCAGACATGGTGTTAGAGGTTGACTTGTTTCCACTTCCATCTGGTTGTGTTATAACAGATAAAATGGAGACAACAGCAGTTTATGAGACTGCATAAATGCTAGAATAACGTTACATCAATTTATATCAACATTTCATAGAAAAGTTAGTTGTAAAGAGATGTTAAAGGATCAATTTCCGATATAATATAGTAAGTTTAGAATTGATTCAGATATAATATAGCAAGATTTGTGTTTTTAATGTACTTCTGAGTTATTTTTTTTTTCTTATTGAGTGTCTATACAAATTGTATTTTATAATATAATTTTCCTGGTGGTAACTTTTTGATGATTGTCCTCTTCCCTCCTCTCTCTGTGTCATATATCATTGTTGTACAAACTTCTAGATTCTTAATTAGTTATCGTTGGTTTTGTGGTCTTTATGCATCATCATTGGGTTGTAAAACTGATGATTGTTCATGTTGTGGCAGCTCCAGTTCACCAGATGCAGCAATACTATAGGCTGGGAGTACTTGATAACTGTTCTGAGAAGTGGAATGCTCTTTTTGATTGTTTCAATCTGAAAACAAAACGATCATCTGAAATGCAAGTAAGTGATCCAAGCTGACAACACTTGTCTAACCAAGCATTGTGTGGTGATATATTTCTTATCACCACTGTATAAAACTACAGGCATTAGAATCAATGTTGTCTTCATAGTTCTTACTTTTTCTTTGTTTACTTATCAGTGGAGATTGTTGCTCAACAGTTTCCCCATCTATTTGGATATTCCCTATATTGCCCTTTTCAGTAAAACAATCTGCATGCTGATTTGATTTTTTGCAACCTCCTTACTTGTTTTGGTGGGTAAGTGAGCTTCTGAATGGTTGGTTTCTAACCAATTTTTTCTCCACTTTTACCTTGGCTAGGAGATGTTAAGAAGTGGGAGTACAGGGTGGATAAAAGGTGGTGGAAATTAAGCTATTTAAGAAATTCTAGGAGCAGTGCCAATAAGATTGCTGCAGCTGTGACTTTTACTGGTATATTTGGTAGTTTCAGATACCCTAACCACTATCATTAGACTGACTACTCATGAGGGATAGATATGATAACATTGGCATTTTTTAAAGGTCACAAGGTTCACTAATCCTCCACTTAAGGGAAGATTATTTATTTATTTTTGATAATCTTCCCTCTTTGTTAGGGAAGATTATTTATTGTTTATCTTACCTTAATTCTAAGTTCTCTTTAAATAAATTTACCCCCTGATTTAGGAATCTTTCTACCTTTCCTCTCCAAAATGTGGTCAGCATTATAGTTTTCAAGGCATCTAGGTGATTCTGGGTGACACTGGGGCGCCTAGTTGCCTAGGTGATAAAAATTTTATAATATAAAAAACTAGCTTTTGGAGTTCCCTAGTTTTATATACCATTCAACATGTATATTAATTGAAAAATAGAAATTATCTTTATTAAGAACATTAAATTTCCTTTAAAAATGTGGCAAATCATCACATCTAAAAGATAAAAATATTTTACATATATTAATTTCATTATTGTGAAAAATAATACTACTATAATAAGTATTTAATAGAGCAATTTCATATCAATTAGCAGCTAAAGAAGGTTATTAACTTTATATGATAAATATTCAAGATGGAAAGTAAAATAGAAAAAAAACAAGGATGGAGTTTCTGTTTGATTTAATTAGAGAGAGAGAGCACTTGCCATTTCTGTTGCCTAGGTAGGTACCTAGTTGCTAAAAGTCAAGGTGTTTGGGTGAGGGCGACGCCTTGACAACTATGTCAGCAGCAAGAATCCTGTATTTACTTTTCTCTTCCTGAAGTTGTATAGTTGCTTGAGTGAACTATCAAGTGTTTCCTCACTACTTGAGCTGAGGTTCATCCAAGGTTCAAAATATCGATACGTGATACGTATCGTATCAGGAGCTTCCTGATACACCCCTACAGAGGGTGTATCAGGGTTTTTAAGGGGGTGGACGGACCTTAAACTGGCTCCTCTGAACCAGATTTGAAAAAAAAACTAAAAAAAAACTATCGATACTGCCCAATACACCTCCACCGGCATATTGGGTGTATCGATATTTTGAACCTTGTTCATCATGACCTTCCCTTCAATCCTCAGTATTTTTTTTCTTTTTTTATTTTATTTTCTTTTCTTCTGTATGTGTGCGTGCATGTCCACCTGTGTGCATGCAAGGCTGCTTGAGTGAACTATCAAGTGTTTCCTCACTACTTGAGCTGAGGTTCATCCAAGGTTCAAAATATCAATACGTATCAGGCTGTATCGGCCGATACGTATCGTATCAGGAGCTTCCTGATACACCCCTACAGAGGGTGTATCGGGGTTTTTACCGGTTCAGGGGGATGGACGGACCTTAAACTGGCTCCTCTGAATCAGATTTGAAAAAAAAAAAACTAAAAAAAAAGCTATCGATACTGCCCAATACACCTCCACTGGCATATTGGGCGTATYGATATTTTGAACCTTGGGTTCATCATGACCTTCTCTTCAATCCTCATATTTTTTTTCTTTTTTATTTTATTTTCTTTTTTCTTTTAGTGGTATGTGCTGATTGCACATTCCTGAAGAAAATCACTTTTTCTGTCCAACTCTAATTCTACAAATGACCGTGTCTTGAAGCTCCTCCTTATGGATAGCTGAACCAAGGTGCCAAATATGTTTCCAAATAGGATTGCACACTCCTGAAGAAAATCACTTTTTCTGCCCAACTCTGATTCTACAAATGACAGTCTTGAAGCTCTCCCTTATGGATAGCTGAACCAAGGTGCCAAATATGATTGCCCTTGGGAGTCTCTAAAGCATTGCTCATAAAGTGATCACTTATAAGTTATAACTCATAATTAATTTCATGCTACCTATAAAAAATTACAAAAAAAAACCGTAATTCTGTGCTGCTACTGCTACATCTACTTAAATACACCACATATATTCCATTATTAGTTCCACTTATTCTGAAACTTCTTAAGTGTTTCCAGTGTTTTAGAAGCACAAGGGCCATTGTGCGCCCGAGGTGCGAGCCTTTTGAAGCAAGGTGCAAAAATGCTAAAAAAATTAAAAAAAAATGCAAAATGTTAAACACAATATTAATTAAAAATGTAAACTTAAATTTTAAAATAAATATTAAAAAAACATATTATCTCAAATTAAAACACATAAACATGACATGTAAAGCATATTCAAAATGAAAATTTAAAAATAAAAATCAAGCAAAACATATAAAACATATTCAAGCATGTAAACTCTTAATCTCTTTATTTTTTTTGATCAATTTAATCTCTTTATCTTTTCCCAATAGCATTCCTTCAAATAGCTAATGTGATGTTAAACATTATGCATTATTGATTCTACAAGCCGCCTTTGTACAAAGTCAAACCCCGTATTTGCTAATTTGTTCATTCATTAATTCTAATAAAAGATATTTTTAAAAGACACTTAGAGTTATAAAACATTTTTTATAGGGATTAAGAATATAAGAACCTGATATGGACTTGTTTGGGCTTGCCTTGAGGGGTTTGGTAGGGATCCAGGGGTGAAGCCCCCGGCCCAGCAGCTAAGTATAAAAAAACAGAAAAAACACACATTTTCAAAAGGCGCATGCCTGGGCTGAAACTCAAGACACTCCAGGCGCATGCCTTTTAAATGAGTGTTTCTCCATGTTCTTAGTTTTGCATTCAATCCCCCTTTTTCCAATAGGTTAAGATTTTGTCATCCCTTACAAACACAAAAGATAAACCTCTTCTTTTATATGACTAATTAATTCATCCATCAGAAATGAAAAAATATATAGACTTATTGCTAATCCTTAATGCAGGTTTCTTGCAAGTAACTTGTCAAACATGTCTGTATATTATTTTTCTTATTGGGAAGCATTTTTTTATCAATATTGGGAAGCAAATTACTTTTGGTACTTTAGCCAATAAGGGTGGATTTCACAGTCAGGTCGTTTACTTCAGCCAATGAAGTGTTAGTACCTGGAGGGTTTACTATCTATCATGCTGTCAGCTTGTACTTGTGTTTGATGTGGCCAAATACACATGTTAAGTTACATGGTTTGGAATGCCAATAGGCAAAGCCCCCATTTTATAAGGCACCAACTATTTATATTTGAAAAATGAATTATCCAACAGAGCTACAGTAACCTTATCAATCTTCTTTTGGAAGGATTTGCATTTGCAAAATTAAGTATCCAACTGTGCTATGATGACCTTGACCATCTTCTTGTGGATCCTATCCCCATTTACTGAACCACACAATTTAGAATACCATGGGCACAAACCCCTTTTAAGGTAATGGTGATTTGTATTTAAAAATTATATATCCAACACAACGACTGTAGACCTTCTTGTTCTATTGGTTTCTAACTCTGTAGACACCTTATTTGTGTTTCTATAGGTCATGAGATCATTAACTTGTTTGCTAATTGGGTCTTGTATCTATTAGTTTAGTGTTAATTGGTCCATATTGTTTTCCTTAATTCCTACTTGTCCTTCCTTCCCTGCTGTATTTGGCATATTTCTGGGAGAGAAGTAGGGTAGATTTTGATAGTTGATGTTTCTATTTGATTTATTCAAGATGATTGCAATTTCCATCACTCTGATGTGCTGACCCAGTGTTGCTAACTTGTTGACACATGAGCTGGCAGAAACTTTACTGTTTTATGTTTGAAGGATTCAAGCAATATTTATACAATGTTGACCTGCAGATCATGTAATATGATGGTTATTGAGGTTGTCTGTCAGGCGTCTTATATTTGTAATGAATTCTTTTTAGAAGCCAGATTAGTATACAAATGTTTGAAATATCTTATTCAGAAATCTAAGGTTATGTTTTTATGAATATCTAAGAGAAAATAAAAGGTGTTGTCTAAGTTTCATATGTGGTTTTTAGGCTTAAATTGGAGCAGTTGGATGTTGTATGCAAGTCATCATAAAGGGTAAAAGTAGGGGTAAAATAAAAGGTAAATAGTGGGTTGAGAATGATCTTTATCAAGCTAGATCCAGACCACAAGCCTTTCTTCTTTCTTTAGCTTAACATTTTGTAGCAAAGGGGGCTGGATAAAACTTAAGAGTGCTTAAAAATTTAAGGAAAAACAAAGAAAAATATGTCTAGGTTGTGCTATTTTTTTTGATAAATGTCTAGGTTGTGCTATTTTAGAGCTGCATAACTAAATAGCAGAGATAAACAATTAAAGCAAATAGTGAATAAGAGTGATGGAAAGGATGGTTTGATAATGCAGAGAAAATAAGTAAAAACAGCAACAAAACAAACCTGAAACTGATAATAGAAATTCAATAAAGTAAGATTCATCAGTACACAAGATACCTATTTTAGAACCAATATGGTGCCTAAATGGAGTTATTGGTTTCTCCTGGAGTCATCATTTCGAAGTTTGGAGTCAGTGCCAAACCATAAAAGTTACATGAAATAATTTACATTCCACTCCTCCCAAAAGAGTTCTTACAAGCATATCTATGAATGAACAACACACACACACACACACACACATATATATATATATATATATTTTGAGATCTACAAGATCTTTATTTTTTACGAATGCAACTAAACATGGAAATATTTGTATTGATAAAAAAACATGGAAATACTATCTAAATCTGGACAAATTTAAATTATTGGATTTGCTGAAATGGGGATAAGCTCATGGGCTTTGGGCCAAGTCTACGACTTGTTGGTCTTGGGCTTACTGGTGCAACTTATAACCCCATGGTCTTGAGCTGGATTAACATGAATTAATGAAACCTGACCCCTATCGTATCACAAGAGCAACCCAAAAGTGCATAGAGGCCATGGGAGGATAATAAATTTGGCTTCCCTTTTCTCAGCCCTTGGCCCCACATCAGTAACAATCTTCTAAGGGAAGTTTTTGGACAAATGGTCTTTGCTCTCACCAATTTCTTTTCCATAACGCTTCTAGGATATTCCTGAGGAATCTTATTATTGTTATCTTCATGTATTTGCATGAACAAATTAACAGTTTTAACTCGGTGGGTTCAAGCATGGCTTAGCCATCCACTTTTTAAATCATCTTTGTCCATGTGAGACATCTCTTAGCCTGGGTACGTTGCTACTTTACGTATTGGAGGAGGGTACTGAAGAATAGTTGCATATGGGTTTCTATCATGTTATCAGACAGTGGATTTGAGACTTGTATGAATTTGGACGTAGGATGAAAATTTTCTTTCTATACACAGACACTCACAAACCTGTAAAACCTCGACGATCAAGTTACATGAAAGCTGAGAGATATCATATTGCATGAGCTGTACTGATGCAAGAATGGGAGGATATGGCTAATAAGTACCCTCTCTCTTAGGTATTTTTGCATGGTTGGAATGTTTGCATCTGGTCAGATGATTCTACCTCTAACTGATATCTGTTAGGGCGACTTTCCATTTTCTGTGTTAGAATAGATAGGTTCAATCCTGCTTTAGCCATATAGGCTGTAATTATTCCCCCTGTTTATTCTTGTTTTTTGTTGGCTAGTAACGCTAGTTATCTATGACTATAATGATGCTTCTTATGGTGACAATTTTGTTCTTCCTAGTGCAGGAAATTCTGGAAACTCGTCAGAAAACCAAACCTCACATTTGGTCTTTTCGCACAGCAGAAGAAGCATCATCTCATTGGAAAGAGTTGTTCGGCCATATAAATGACCCAGAATGACTAAAATTTCCTGCTGCTTTTCAAATGCAGAAGATGGTGTGCCCGTCTCAATTTTGTATTCAATTTTCATGGATTTCACTCCACGGTAATGCCCCAAAAATAGGGGGGAACCGGGAAATATTCAAATATAGTAGAAAGAACAAGAACCCAAGTTAACCTGGTTTGCAGATTAACTAACCAGAGTGACTTCTCTCATGTTTTACAGTTTTAGGTTGGGGTAGAGGTTAGCGAACTCACCCACATGGAGGTGATCTAAAAAAGGGGTCTTGATTCTGTATCCATCACTTTAATTATCACTTTGCAGCTTTATTACTTATTCCTTTATTTATTTATATATTTTTTGTTCTTTAGTTCTAACTTCTAAGAAGTGATATTAAAATCAAAAGAGGTGTGAAAGGGAAAAGAAGATAAATAAATTTCAAAGGTGGGTATGTGTGCAGTTTTCTACTCATAAACACTTTTTCTGCAAGAATCAAATATAATAGAAAATCTCCCACTTAAAGAGAGGTTATTCTTAGTTTTTACTTTTTGGGTTCTCCACCCACCAAGGCACATATTGGAAAATGGAAAACCCTATTTTCTATTTTAATTTCTTCTTATATTTAATGGAGCCCATGAAACCTCTAAATCTCTCACATGCTCATCACTAGGGAATCTCCCTTTCGAAACCCTCTTTCTTTTCTTTTCATTTCCTTCATTATTACTATTCAGCATTTCTTCAATAAATTAACCCAACTATTTTATCCACATTTATTACCCCCATTTGAAGAAAAGCTCCCAAAGGCCAACGCTACGCCCATGGCCGCGTGAATTCACTTCAGGGTTATCTCAAGTGGGCCTCACTTTTTTGGTCTGACCCACTGGCCCATTAGCATTTAATACACAAGGGGGGAGCAAGAAGTTGTCCCATCCATAGAAAAGCTCTGTCAGCTGTCGTCACTTCTCGGTGACAGTTAGTGTGACTTCGGAGTTCGGAGGGCCCAATGACGTAGTTGGGTGGTAGTTTGAATGCTGACGTGTCATCTTGTTAATAATCTAATTGCCACGTCATACGTTTCCACTTTTTACAGGCGTGACGTGGCTTATGGGGTTCCGGGCCTGGCGGAAGGCAGTGGAATGGAAGGAAGAACGTACATTTGGAATATATAGTTCTGACTACTGAGTACTGACAAAAGGCCACGTCAGCATGGACGGCCACGAAGGTGTTTTTGGGTCCGGACTCCGGGCCGTCAACGGTCTTCCCGACAGCTTTTAAACCGTTGTTTGCTTTGGCAGAGAGAAGCGTTTTTTTTTTTCTTTTTCTTTTATTGTTTCATCTCCTTTATTTGGTTTTCCTGAAAAAGGGAAAAAATCGGGGTTTAAGTAGGGTTCAAAAATAAACCAGAAGTTTCGGGATTTGGACATTTGGTTAATATAATAATTGATTATTTTATGGGGGGTTTTAGCTTTTACAGCAGGGCACCAGTTGACTGGGTTGTCCAAACGCTGGTTTTTAGGGTTCTATAAAACCGCTTTTTTGGCTTCTCGGTGGTTTATCAGGGCGGTGTGAAGACTTCCAGTGAGGGAAATTATTGACTGCTTTTACAATTATACCCTAGAGGTCAGTAGATGTTTCCATTTTAGTCCTCTTTTTTTTTCTGTGTTTTGTGGTTTCATATTAAATTCCGCCGGTATGAGCTTGTCTTACGCTACCATCCCTGGCCCGGATAAAGGAGGAAGGTTACATGCAGTCGGCACTAAAATTTTTACCAAATTCTGATGAACTTGTGATCTCATACAACAGTTTTTATTTTTTAAGAAATTAATATCAGAAGTAAATATGAGAGTTTTAGTGGGAAGCAGAATTAAATGGGGATTTTACTGGACGTTTAATTTGGTTAGGTATGGTTGCCAAGGGAATGTAAGAAAGGCGAATTAGTGAAAATAACTAAGAGAAAATCAGAGAAAATAAAAAAAAATCAAAGAAAGACTTTGTTTTCTCAAAGGCCTTTGATTGGAAAGAAAAGAAATTTATAAAAGGAATGGTCCCCATCCCCAATCCCCCATTTTATCCACTTTGCAGTCTGCACTCAAATTTCCTGCATTTTCAGATAACTTTGTGTAGAAAAATTAACTTCCATTTAAAAGAGAACTTTTGAAAATAGGAAAAATCCTGTTGTGGGTCTCACCCACTTTCTTTGTCCAACCAATGGTTTGTTTTGGGATTTTCTTGAAAATTTTAGAATTCTCTCTCAGTTTCTGGATAGTCAAACTTAGCCTTAATTGAAAGAGAAACAGAATTCTAAGTGATCCTTGGACATGAACATGTACAAAGTAATTTGAGCAAGTGTTTTTTGATTTTATATCGTGTGCTGTATTAAGGGAAAACCCACTTGGAAGAGGAATCATAGTATATATGGTTGATGAAAACAAATTTACATATTTTTTTTTTTAGAAAAGGGTTTAACATATTACAACATATCAGTGTATATTATACTCTTCATTGCTCAATTTTTTTTGTATTTTCAATTATAAATCTAAGGATGAAATGCTGTTAATTGCAAAGGAAATGTGTGTGTGTATACACACATAAACCTGAATTTGATTATGTGAGAATGAGCTTGAACTGTTCAACAGATTAAAAATCTTTTATTATTTTTCTATAATTGGCTAATAAGTTAAATTGTGTCCTTTTTTGAATTTATAAGGGTATTTCCGGTATTGGATAAAACGGCTTCTGTTACAAAGTTTTTTATAACATTGTAAGCAAAAGAGCAGTTGGTTTTTAGTTTACTTCTAACAAATTGGTTCTGGCGCGAGTTGCAGAGGAACGTTCAGATTTCAAAAAAGAAATGCTGCTTCTCATTTCTCCATTCCCTTCTTCCCTTCCTGCTCTTTGATTCTCAGCTTCAATTCTGATCTTATTATCCTTTGTTTCACCTAGTAGTTTCTCTTCTAGCTTGACTTTGTTTAAAGATAATAGAAGTACATGCATGGAAGGGAGAGAGAGCACTGTCTCTGGCTCTCCGGCTAACACTAACGCGGAGGCTGAGTCTCCGGTGAGTGGAGGCGAACCAGGAGCGGGAGCGGTGGGAGCTTCGCAAGGTGGGGTGGTGCCACAAGTGATGAACATGGCAGTAAGCATGAGTATGGAGAGAAGCCTTGGAGGAGGAGCTGTAGGGATGGACATGCTGGGCAAAAAGAAGAGAGGGAGACCAAGGAAGTATGGCTCGGACGGGAGCATAGCTTTGGCTCTCTCACCGGGCTACTCTTCATCTCCCTCCGACTTTTCTAAGCGGAATAGAGGGCGGCCACCGGGTTCCGGCAACCGGCAAATACTTGCTTCTTTAGGTGAGTCAAGGAAAAGCCAAAGAGAACATGTGGGAATTTTCCTCATGTTTTATTCTGTATAGTTGATTAAATTCTGTTTTAAGTGGTAGAAATGATTTTAATTGGATCTTAGTTTAAGAAAGCACAATAAGAAGGGAATAAATTGATTTGGGTCTTACACACCCAGACACACAACAACAAAAGAATTAAGAAGAGTTTTTCTGATTGCTATCTGTGGGAGAAAGTTATTTGTCACTGATAATTAGATGAATCGGGAATATAAAACAACTTGGTGAATTTATTGATTAGAAAGCTTTTGTTACTGGTGATGAAATAATGTGAAGAAACATCTACTGGGTTTTCTTGGAAAGGTCTAAATCTTTTCATTTTTCAAGAGATGGATGGTCAATTCATTTAAATATTTGTTCTCCAGTAGAAGAACCTTTATTTAGGTTAGATTAGGATGTTTTAATCAAATATAACTTAGTTCTTCTTACATAGAGAGTCTTTGACTGTGAAGGTGAGCTGATTGCAAATACGGCTGGAGGAAGCTTCACACCACATGTGATTACCATAAATACAGGGGAGGTAATATATCAGTTGGGAAAGCCAGTTTACATGGCATCCTTGTATGTTGATATTTTTTCATTCTTTACTCATCAAATTTAAATACTTTGGGATAAAAGATCATGTACAGAATTTGTGCATGTTTAGATTGCATGACAGGATACTACTTCGTAATTTGTAGGATGTTGCAGCAAGGATATTCTCATTTTCTCACAAGGGTCCTCGGGCCATTTGCATTCTCTCAGCCAATGGAGCTGTTTCGAATGTTACAATTCGCCAGCCTGGTTCTTCTGGTGGTATTTTGACATACGAGGTATGATCTCAACCAGTTCTTTTTGGTTATTGTTTCCCTTTTTCTTCCTGAACTTGTTTGAAATTGTTAGCAAATCTATTTCTTTGAATAGGATGCACATATCAAAGATCTCATCTTTCCTTTTTATTTTGTACAATCTACTTAAGGAGGTTTAGTTTCATGATATCTATGCTTGTGTACTTAATATCCTGTTTCTTTTTACTGTAACAGTAATGAATCCTAGTATTTTATGTACGAGTTTATGTTTTATAATAGTCCATAGGAGCAGTTTTTCAAAAGGCAATGGCATAAGCTTGTTCAAGGACCTCCAAAATGCCAAGGCTTAGCCTTTGGCGTTCATTTTGCAAAGGAAAATAGGTTAAAACGAAAAATATATAATAATTACATACAAAAACAAAGAACCATATGTTTATATGGAAAAAGAACTAGATATTCAACTGACACAAGTGTAATTTGCTGTAAATGACTCAATTAAGATATACCTTTTTGTAGGTTTATTCTTGAAAACAATGATGAGTGTCATCAATTTATATCACGGGTACAGTTTCACATCCAGACAAATGGTTTTGTAAAGGGTCATTGGACTATCTACTTTGCCTTCCAGTGAAAAAAAAAATACTTTGGTTTCTGTTAGGGAAACTTGTACTATGACATAGAAGCTCAAAAAGATTCTAAATACCCTGCATTTCATAAATATAACATTTAATTTAATGAATTTAAAATAAGTTAGAGAAGAGGAATGATATTTATTTTTTCTGTGTTCACTTTTGAAATGTCAAGATGATGTATTATGTAAATAACTGGGGGAAGAATCTCCAATAAAACTATCAAGCCAGTTAAAGAAAGACCAGAGTATGAGAGCACACAACATGTCATCATAAACAAAATCTTCATACCAAAATAAAACTGTCAAAGTACCTTTTTCTTCTCTAAGAGCAAACTCTACAATAGTCTGCCCCCTAATGCACTAAAGAGTCTAAGCAAGTGGAAGACCAAAAACATAAAGGATCCAAGACCTCATGGAGAAATTTATCTTTGGTGGGGTAGTCATGTTGATATATGAGGTTGTTCTGATCTTTCAAAACGGACCAACAAATAACAATGAAAGACCAGGGAAAGCTGGTCTTATCATGAAATGACTTGGCAGGAGACTGCGACATAAACTTATAATGAGGATCTCAATCATGTTTGATAGATGTAATATGTTTGCTGAAATAGAGCTGTCGAATGAGAGAAGAAGAAGAAGAAGAAGAAGAAGAAGAAGAAGATATGAGATGGGCGGCAGAATTGGTTCTCAGCCAGCCCTAATCTATTATATATAACAACATTACATAATGTTACATAAATAGACCAGAATGCCCCTGATTAGTGGAGGGACACCTAGTCAAATAAACACTAAATAAGATTAGGCCCAATAACTAATGACTTAAGACCCAATAAGGATAAACATACAAATTAAGACAGCCGAACCAACACTCCCCTTCAAGCTAAGCATGGATGTCAATCATGTTTAGCTTGCCAAGTAAGTCCAAGAATTTCACTGTAGCTAGCCCTTTAGTCAGAACATCTGCAATCTGCATCTCGGAGGGAGTA